AATGGGAAATCAATTCCGGTGATTACCCTATTTCCTCAGTTTTAATATCCCACTGATTATGAGACGCTCCCTTGGTTCAATAGCCTCCTCCCTCCACCCCAAAAAGTGAAACTTCACAATAAATATGCACATCTATTTTAAGACCCATGCCTATTTCAGAAATGTTAAGATGTGTGCCGGGAAGGGGAAAGATGCATATTATAATTAAGAGAAAATGGTAATTGAGAGATAGTCAAGCCGATTGCCTGATTGAATTCATCAGCAAATGCAGTCGGCATGCATCGTTGGTCTGCACCATGGGAGAAAAGGCTTTTTAGTGAGGGAATTGTGTGTGTTGGTGAGCATCCTGGCCAATGGATCAGATGCTAGTTTCTTCTGCCCATAGGGTAATGACTGGGGGACACAATCATACCTGGCATCTCATTCCAAATACTGACAGGCAGAAAAATTACAGACACGACTCCTCCCTCTCCTGTTATCAGATCCTCCCTGTCACTGGCCAAGGGTTCAGATCTCCTATGGTGTCACCAGTATGAGAGCCCCCCATTTTTGAACTTTGTTCTGGAACACCATTACTTAGTAAATACCAGCTGCAAGGCACCATGAAACAGAAGAAATGGAGGCAGGATGATCCTTATCACCAGCTGTACGGACAGAAGCACGGTCCTGAGCGGCAGCAAGACTAGTTGGACCCCCATGAGTTGTGCCAGAAGAAGGTGAGTATATACTGTTTAGGACAGAAGTGAGTTCATCTAAGCTGGAATGTACCTGCTTTGTGCTAAACTATTACCAGGCATATTCCTGGCACGAGGGTCTAGTTGAAAAGCCAGAAAACACTGACTGTAGTTTGTGGTGAAACTTCAGGAGAAACAAACTAGAGGGGCACACAGATGCATCATGGTAGTTACAACTCAAGATGGCTGCAGTCACGTCAAGCTGAATCTGTACAGACTTCTGCCAGAAGCGCTGGGAATTCTCCTCCTGCCCATCGTCTGGCCGAAGTATCAGTGTGAGCATTGCCACTGCCCCCATCACCCTCTATCCCAGAGGCTACAGAGAAGCCTGCAGCCAGATGTCTGGTGCTACGTCTCCAGATCCAACACCTTCAGGCCCCAGCCTTTGTTGATGTGGTCTTCCTAACCTTGGATTCCTATGTGTTCAATCAATCCGAAGTCCTGAGGAGAAATCAAGGTGGTCATTAGACAAGGACTAGATCATGTGATAGGACAAGAGCTGGTGACGAGCCAACAGAATGTCAAGAATATCTAAGGTGTGAGGTAGGGGCTGCTGGGAAAATTTTGCAAAGAAAATGAAAAAATTCAATTTTGATTCATGATGGGAAAGGAGGAAAAAAGTGAGCAAACACCAAGAGGGATGGAACCTTTGCAAGTGAAGACAACTCTGAAAAAAGTAGAACACCTCTCACTTTCACCCTTCACCTCTCACCTTACTACAGTCCATCTTCTCTACATTTCTAAATTTCCTGTTTTTCTCTATCTTTCATGCCGTGGCTCTCAGCCTATAGGTATTTGGGAATGTGTGGCTGTCACAATGACAAAGCTCTGGTGACACTGACTGGATGGGGCCAAGGATGCCAAGAATAACTGAAGCTTTGGAGATAGTTTTGCCCAAGAAAGAATGTCCCCTTCCAAAAGCCAGTGCCAGGCAGAGAATCAGCCTGGCATGCCCTTTGCCTGCTGTTAGCATGCCCCTGTCCTTGACTGTGGCAGGACCTCTCCCCACCATGTGCATGCCTCTGTCCAGGGGTGTGGCAGGACCTGTCCCTGCCATTGACATGCCTTTGTCCTGCAGGGCAGAGGCATGGCCTGTCCCTACCATGGAGATGCCTCTGTGCTGCTGGGCTGCCTTCCCTGGCCATCACCCCATCACACATTTGGAATTTTCCATTACCAGTGGAACTTTCTTACCAAGCTAAGGGAGACAGATGGGAAATTGTCAAAGAAAGCACAAAGCATATAAACAGAAGAGCAGCGGCAGATTTCTGAGTCTCGGCTTAAACCTCTTCATTCTATCACACAGACACTTTTTTTTTTAACTCATGCTTTTCCTAATTGAAGTGATATAGTAGACAGAGTCTCACTTGTCTTCCCACTCCAAGAGCACCTCAGGGTCATCCTGGCCCTGATGCTGGCCTGGCAGACTGCTAGACTTACCAAAGGCCAGTTCTGGGCCACCCTTAGCATGTGATTTAGAAAGAATATGGGCTCAAACCACTTGGTCCCCCAAGCTGAGGTGGCCTCTGGCCTCTCCTGGCCTTTGATCTTTCATGTTGGCTTCAAACAGTAGGTTTCTGAGCAAGGCGTGGTCCTCTCTCTGTGGAAATGCTATAGTTGCAAAAGGGAGGACTCACAGACTTGTGAATTCATGCAGGAAAAGTTCACTGTTTGCTCTAAGGCTAAAACCAGAGCTACTGAGTCTGCTTGTTGGTAACCCAGGCTTCTTCCACCTGGTGGCTTCTCCCTCATTGATTTCTAGGCTACTATGGCTGTCTGCATCCAGCATGCAGGTACCTGATTATGATCTCCATGGGACAGGCCTTACATGCTACATCTCTGATTCTGTTGAAAGGCATGAGATTTCATGGTGTCCTCTAGCTGCCAGAGACTGGGAAATGCAAACTGAGTTATGTATGAGAACATGAAGAGCTGGCTTAGTCCTCAGCATATGTCCTTATCTACCCGAATCCGGATTTCTCCAAGTCCCACAGTCCTTTTCTCTTTCATTATTGGCAGTCTAAAACAGTTTTCTGGTTAGCAATTAAGTGGCTGGTTTCTCATAATGTTAGACATAGAATTATCATTGACCTGGCAGTTCTAGCCTTAGGAGTATACCCAGAACTGAAAGTAGAGACAAACCAATATCTGGTGACACACAGGCACAAGTAGCCCAAAAGAGAGAACAACTAAAAGTCCATCAGTGGAGTCAGTATGGACACACAGCCGAATATTATTTATCCAGAGAAAGCGATGAAGTATGGGCACATACTAAAGCATAGATGAACCTCCAAAGGACTGCGCTAAATGAAAGAAGCCAGGCAGAGGAGGATGCATACCACGTAGTCCATCCACAAAAAATATCCAGAGTGGAAAATCCATACATAGAGAAGACTGGTGGTTTCTCAAGGCCAGGGAGGAGCTGCTTATTGGCCCTGGTGTGCGTGTGTGCGAGCATGCTTTCTTCTGGGAGTAATGAAAAGACAGCTATAAATACTTCCATGTTATAGATACCGCTGAACTGTCTGCTTGAGAATGGTTGACTTTAGTTGTGTGAATCACAGGACATTAAAACTTAGGGTTAATCATTGTAGAAGAAAGTCTTAAATGGCTGGATTTGTCTTTCATGAAGACTTTCTTTGATCTACCCTCTTTGTTAACTGTTTTGGTCTCATCACATGAAAGGGATCATTCTGGCCTAGTCTTTTAATGACACTGGGGGATTAACTGACCGTTTCCCCCTCAGCCTCTGGACTCCCTCCTAGAGTTCAGTTTCTATTAATAGAAAATGCATTTCTAAGTCATAGAGTCTCCCTTAGAGAGTCCGTTAGCTGACCACTGACGTAGACATCTGTATGCATCTGTTATTTCCACCCACTTCTGTAGCTTCTCATTCTCTTTGCTGCCGTGCTTGCCCTCCATCTCCACCATCTTGGATGCCATGGTTAAGACCTACAGCATCCCTGGTTCTGATCCTTTCAGGGTATACGACTGTGGTCAAAGAGTCCTTTTAATAACGAAAACAAATCTACAGAGAAGTCATATTCTGTTCATGCTTCAAATTCAGCAGTGCTTGCACAATGTTTTGTGCTGCCTTTGAGGAAGGGTTTCTGATTAGAATGCAAAGTCTCTGAGGGTAAGAGCCATGCCCTAATCACCTTTCCATTCTTAGCACTTAACGCAGTGCCTGGATTATATATAGTAGCTGCTCAATAAAAATGGATTAAGTGGATGAACAACCGTGTAATAGGATACGATGAGAGAGACTGTTTTCTCAAACGAATAAACAATCCAATCGAAGCCATTGTCTTGTAGAGAGAGCAACTTTTACTTAAAATCAATGGATGTTCATTCCTGCGGACCAGCACAAAAGAGATATTCTTCAAGATGGGCAAGGACTATACGCAGGCAGGCTCAAGGAAGGAAACAAGCTGTGTTCGAAATAGTAATACAGAGCTTAGTAAGCAGGCGACGGGCAGTGAGTGGGCAAAAAGATCTCCCAGCAGGGCGGGAGCCTGCTGCAGGCAGAGGGAACCTTAGGCAGTGTGCCCCAAAGGTGTGCATTTGGGACACAGTGATAGTGTAGGTGGCAGTCTCAGGCAAGCCCATCAGGGGGAAAAAGAGAGGATCTGAGGACTGTAGGAAGAGCGGCTGTCTAGGAGGGCGCGGTGGGTGCTGTAGACGATCATATACAGCCGGATGGCAGGTGATGGCCTTGAAGGGAACAGACAGCAGCCTCTCTCTGGGCAAGATTTCTAAAACGAATGATGAAATTAAGACTCTTTGGAGACTGGGTTTGGACTCTAGCTTTGAAGGGATCAGCTTTTTGCAGTTGACTCTCCTGCCAGGGAAGGGGTGAGAACCTAGGTGCTCCAGAACTCCCTAGAAACATGGCTCTTAAACTAGCTCACGTGATCAGAGTGGAGCTGTGGGATCTGAACTCCTAAGGCTGGTGGAGCTGTGACCGAGGCCAGGGTGAGCGTACAGAGAGCAAGGTGCTAGCACAGGTTAACTTGGAAACCAGACTTTCAGCCAAGCTGATGATCAGGCTGTACCCATAAATCCACAGGATTTAACGAACACACATTTCCAAGATGTTCTTTCCTGGTAGCAATGTAGATTTATAGTCTGGACGGCTAAGCTTACTAATCCTAATAATTGTCTTTAGAATACAAGTCTATGAAAGACTGAAACGAGCTATGACCCAAGGTTCAAGAAGAAAGAAGGGGCTGGAGGGACAGCTCAGCCTTTAAGAGCGTGTGCTACCCTGTCCCTAGAGCCCTTGTAGGTGTGGCTGCTGTGTCACAGTGCAGCAGTAGGTGACAGAGAGGAGAGAGGCTGTGTCTGAGCTCAGTGTTCTGACCTATGAACTATGAATGATTAGTAGCCCCAGATGACCCTTTCCTGGTGCCACAATGCATGGGCAGGGTGTAGCACGGCTGAGACCACTCCTGAGACAACCCCAGGCACTCAGAGACCCTGGGCAGCACAAAGAGGAGTAAGTGAGTGGTGGAGAAAGAGAAACAGAAGGATGTGGGCACAATGAGGAGAGGCAGAACTGGAGACTTGAGGGTAGTGAGGACAGCCTGTTGTGAGTAGTCAATGATGCCACCTGGGACCCTGGTGGGGTCCTGGCTCGTGCTGTCACCTGGGGCCATGTCTCGGTCTGTGGCCCTGCAGCAGCAGAGATTTGTTGTCACTAAAGGTCAAGTAGACTCTCTGATCTGGGCTGCTGCCCGCCCAGGGACATGTTGATGTCTGAGGGCTGTGCAGAACTGGTCTCACCCCTCACCTGGGCATCACGGAAGAGCTGGCCCTGGGGAGAGCAGGCCCGCACATTGTGGGAGTTGTAGGTGAGCTGGTACTGGGAATATATCTGTGGGAGAGCTGGTCCTACCACTCTTCTCCCAAATAGTGGCATGGATGAGGGAGAGGTAACCACTTCCCTCTCACCCCTCACCACCTGCAGCAGGTGGGAGACCGAGCGCAGGGGTCATGAGAGCAGGGGAGCTGTTCCTGTCCCTCTACAGCACTCAGGAGAGCAGGCTCTGCACCTCACTTAGGGGACACAGTAGAGCTGACCCTGGTGGTGGGGGCACAGGCAAGCAAGCTGGCCTGAGGGTGTGAGCCTGGGAGAGCGGGCCCTGCCAGTTGTCTGCTATGCAGTGACATGGGCAAGGGAGAGATGCCCCACTCCACCCCTTGCCACCTATGGCAAGTAGGAGACCTGGCCCCGAGGTCTTCAGAGCGGGAGAGTTGTCTCTGCCACTCACCTACTGTAGCACTTGGGAGAGCAGGTGCCTGGCACCTGACCTGGGCAGCATAGTAGAGCCGGCCTTAGATGTGGGGGTTGCGGGTGAGCCAGCCCTGAGGGCATGAGCACAGGAGAGCCAGCCCTGCCTCTCATCTGCTGTGTGGTGACCCAGATGAGAGAGAGAGAGACGCCCTCCTCTCCTCCCTCATCCTTCGCCTCCTATAGCAGCTGTGAGAGCTGCCACGTCTCTCACTGGCTGCAATGCTTGGAAGAGCAGGCCCTGCACTTTGCCTGGGCAGCATGGTTAAGCTGGCTCTGACTGTCAGTGAGCCAGCTGCAAGGGTGGGAAAGCAGGAGAGCTGACAGACTGACCATCTCAGATACCTCTCAGGGCCAGATTCAGGGCTTTAGATTGACCCACCCCAATGCCACATCATTGACAAACTGCTGGAGTACACGAAGGCACCAGTCTTGAAGATCTAAAACTCCAGGATCTCCATGACAGGGCAGCAACAGGATGTCTGAGAGGAGTCCCAGTGAGGTTCCAGTACTGATAGAGTAGCAGAAGCCAGAGGCCCCGTACCAGACCAAGAAGTCATTGCAATAAACAGTTGCAAGCAAAGAAGTGTGGACAAAAGGGAATCCCGTGACACACTACGGCTTCCACAGTGAGATTTGTTTCCCTCTGTGTTGAGGGATAGCTGTGAGGATGGAGGGCAGGAGTGAGGGGAGGGAGAGATGAGTTGGAGTGCATGACGTGAAATTCACAAAGAACCAATAAAAAGTTAAAAAAGAATCACATGTTGCTCTTGCAGAGGATCTGAGTTCGATTCCCAGTACCCACCTAATGGGTCACAATCATCCATAACTCCAGTCCTGGGGGCTGACTTCTCAGAACAACCATGAATACAGCAAACATACATAATGCAGAGAAGTACTCATACATAAAATAAAATGAACAAATCTATTTTTTTTTGAAAGGAAGGAAAGAAGGGGGAAAGAAAAGAAAAAAAAGAAAAGGAAGAAAGGAAGAGAGGAGAGGCCTGTTTCATTGCAGCACAAATGGCCAGATGTGTGAATGTGGGTATCCCTGAAAGCTCTTAGCCTGCTTTGGCCCCCTTGTCCAGATGACACCCGCTCCTTCCCTGAAGACTACAGACCACTAGGCTCTGCTCTCTTGTACAGGGATACGGCTGCCACGGCTTCCTGGTTGTGCTCACACAAGCTCTCAGCAGCATATGCTCTGTCCAGGTCCTGAAGAGGTTTAGTGAATCCTGCATAGTCCCTGCCTGCCTGGGACTGCCAGCCCTTTCCCAGCCTTTTACATGAATTCTTGTCTTCTCAGCAGTTTTATGAGCTGGCCCCTTTCCCCCCATACATTCCCTTTCCAGAGTGCATCAGTCTAAGTGAGTCCTGACGTTTGCAATACTGGATGGGAACAGATATAGAAATTGATGTCTTGGGTGGTGGCAGGAAATATACCCTTAGAGACAGGAGCGGGTGATAGGGCCTGTCATCTGCCTGGCTAGAGATGAAGACAGTGCAAATTCACCTTCTAGCTGTCTGTGGGTGGAGGAGAAAACAGATTGCACTGGTGAACATTACTGAAGACCACGGCAGGCAAAGCCAAGGGGCTTTGGCTCTTGCTCAGCCCCCTGGACCACAACCCCTGAACCAGATTTCAGTGCAGCTGTGGATCATCATGTCCAAGTTTTTACCAAGGTCTCTGCTTCCTCGTCTTGAGGCTTTCCCCAAAGTCAGGGACAACAGCCAGCCTCCTCCAGAGAAGAAGTTATCATTCTTGAGGGGAATTAAAGCTGGGGGCTAGATGTTCCCCTTCCTTTCCTTTTGAGGTGACTTATCCCTCTGCACCAATGGGAGTGAGTCCACCCTGTTGGCTGGTTTCCCTTTCCTATCTCATTCTCAATGGTTCATTATCTACTTACTGGGCAAACCTGCAGATGAACTTACCGTCAGTAGAATGATTCTGAAGAGGCGCTCCAGGACTGGAGCCAGCAGTTTGCTTTTGCCAGGAAACCTAAGGAGTGCGTGGAACTCAGATTCATGGATTTCAGTTCAATCTATGGAGACAAAGGCATGACGACTTTCTGGTTCCCAGTGGCTGTCTTATGCTGCCCAAACTGCAAACACAGTCTGATCCTAAGATGGTTGCAGCACAAATTTAGTAAAAAAAACCATAGATCCTTTCAATTTCCTAATATAGAGCATCGAGTTTTAGTCAGGAATAAGTAGGGTCCCAATAGTTAGAATAAAGCTGTCTGAGAAGAACCGGACATTGAGCTCACTTTCACAGAGCCATTCTTGCAGGACATGGCAGCTCGTCTCTCTAGACGCTGGCTGATCCTATCTTGCTTGGAAATTCTAGGCAGCTACCTTGCCAGGGAGGAATCAGTGCCCTTCTTTATCTCTAGGCTGAAACAAAGAGCTAGAGGCAAATCCCACAGGCAGAGAGGTGTAAGAGGGGCGACTTACAGAGATAAACTAGAGGAGAAATACATGCACACACCAAAAATATTGTGTCGTGGATAAAGGTGATCACCAGAAACCTGGGGCATTCATATGGGTGTGCATTAGGGAAGAGCATGTGGAGACAGATGACAAGGGTGCTTGAATTTGAAGACATGGGAAGGACATGCTGGGGGTTCTACACTGGATGTCCCAGTCTAACCTAGTCACCGGCTGTGCTCCTGGATCTTTTTGACTGAGACATGGACTCCACCTGGATTCTGACTGAACAGATCTGAGAAGCCAGTCTCTGGGACACGGGGAAGGGATGAATACAATTTGAGAAGGAGAAATGGGTTTCTCTAAGTCCTATCTATTTACTCTGTAAGGAGTCTGAAGCTTGTATTCCTTCTGGTGCCAGGAGGGTCACTTTCTGTCATCCCGGTATCATGGTTAGACATCAAAGCTTAGAATAGAAGATGTGAGCACCATTGGCTCTGGAGTCATCTCATGAAGAACATACTGAGGGAAACCTAACAGCACCCCATCTGCCCCAGTGCTATAGATGGATGCCTGAGAGGGATGGGTGAGCTCCACTGGTGGCGTGCATACAGTAAGATGAGGGATTTCCCCCCTGTCCCTACTCTTGGGAGAGAGAAGGGCCCTCCCAAGAAGTCATGAGAAAGACAGAAGCAGAGAAGGTTGCAACTTTATGTCCTGGCTGAATGTCTGAGACCCAAAAACCAATCACACAGCCCTACAGTTTGTCATGGTACAAATTTAGTTTAAAACCATAACCCAATTTCTACTGTGGAGCATCAGACATTGATCTGGTCTAAGACGTGAGTGAAGCTACAGAAACAGGGTGTGTGTTGAATGTAGAGCATAAAGCAGCCACTCTTCCAGCATGTGGCCTGTGATGACCTATGAGCTTCCCAGTGGTTGGGTAAACAAAATAGTAAGACCTGGTCTGGGCTATCTATAGAACTGCCTCCCACCATGGGACCCCAGCATCTGGAGTCCCGCTGGTGACTGCATTTGGTGAGAGATGCTGGGAGTAGGGTTTTAGGCAAGCCATCCAAGTCTCAAGAGTTCACATGTGGAATGAATTCAGCCCAGGATTTGGAGCCTGCCCCACAGGGGGCTCAGCCACCAGCCAGAGAAGCAGTAGTAACATTGGACAGCATTATGCCCTGGTTCCTGCATTAGTTCATAGACATGAGGCCTCTCTGTGAGGGGAGAGCCAAGGAACAGCATGAGAAGGCGCTGTAGACCAGGGCTTCCTGGAGCCATGTGTGACCAGGAGACTGTGTACTAACCAGAGCCCCTAGGATCTTTAGAACCTGGCCCATAGAACATGAGTTCTTGGGAACCCAGAACAACAATTTATCCATGGTCATTGTGCTTTTGTGGGCCAGGTGATAAATGGATTTTTACCTGACTGTTTCATGTAGACTCGTGGGGACACTGATCCTATTCCTATATTCCCCCAGTTCTAGAACAGATTTCTCTGCCCACTGGAGAACACTCAATATGGCCCATAAAATAAGGGCTGATCCATAAAATAAGGGCTGATTCCATAGGCTGACTCTTGAGAATCTGGAGTGCCCCCAGGATTCATAGAAATACTCAGTGGAACCATTAGCATTCGCTTCAAGCAGTGCCAGAGCAAAGGA